ACAGGACATGGAACAATTTTTTTTTTTAAAGATTTTATCTATCCATTTGAGAGAGACAGCGCTCATGAGCAGGAGGGAGAGGCAGAGGTAGAGGGAGGAGAAGGAGACTCCCCACTAAGCAGGGAGCCTGATGTGTTACTCAGTTCCAGGACCCGGGATCATGACCTGAGCCGAAGAGAGACCCTTAACTGACTGAGTCACCCAGGTACCGCTAGCTTTTTTTTTTTTTTTTTTAAGATTTTATTTATTTATTTGACAGAGATCACACGTAGGCAGAGAGGCAGGCAGAGAGAGAGAGGGAAGCAGGCTCCCCGCTGAGCAGAGAGCCCGACGCGGGGCTCGATCCCAGGACCCTGAGACCATGACCCCAGCCGAAGGCAGAGGCTTCAGCCACTGAGCCACCCAGGCGCCACATCTTTTTTTTTTTTTTTTAATGGTACCTTCTCTTTTCTAAATATCATCAATGGTTTTCAGTCTTCATCTTACTTGACGCGTTGGCCGCGTTAACACAGTTACCAGATGGTGCGTGCAACACGGCGGATCTGTCACATCTTTGATCAAAACTCTGCGATTGCTCCTTATTTCCCTCCAAAGCCTACCTCCTCTTATCTCCAACCGCACTTCCCGGGGTCCCTGTGCCTTGGCCGCACGGACACGCTTGCACACACCTGCCCCGGGCCCCCGGACGCTCAGTCCCTTGCATGTGGAAGGTCTTGCCTCCATGTGCCCACTGGACCGACTTCTCCCCGTTCGTCTCTGCTCGCACTCCTCTGTCTCGACGAGGCCTGTTTGAGCGCTTACTTAAAACGGCAGCCCACACGCAGCACCTCCGATAGCCCCTGTGGGTCCTGGGATCCCAGAGCCCCGTGCCGGGCCCCCCGCCTGGGTGTTCTCTCCTGCGGCTGGTCCGACCTTGTGAGCCCCGGAAGGGCGGAAAGGGAGCTCTTTATTGGCTCGCACAGGAGCGACACACCGTAGGCAGGGTGATGAGCAGATGAATCTGCGACTTAAGCTGGCGGGGACGCCCTGGAGGGACCGTCTCTCGGGGGAACGGTCTCCCGACGCCGGCCAAGCCTCCCTGCGGACGGCATTCAGCACCAGGCGCCTCTGGACAGCTCTGGAGGCCAAGTGCTCTCGGAACCTTTCCCCCACGGTCTGAGTTTCCCACCGGAGCCACCTGCTGGCCGTACCTACCGCTCAGCAAGAGGAAACTACTTTCCCGTGCCAGTAGGAGGTGGGGGGTGGGGTCTCAGGATGAGTGGCGGCCGCAGCAGCCAGTGGCACGGCGCGCTAGGACCGTGTCTCTCGGGGTAGCCAATGGACAGGGGTGTGGGCGGGGCGTGGGCAGCCGCGCGCGGAGCCGGGGCTGAACAGGTCCGCGGCTGTGGGGTCAGGACCGCGGCTGTGGGGTCGGGACCGCGCGGCGGTTGAGCGGCGGGCGGCGCCGGCGGGCGGGCGAGCGAGGGCCCGGCGGAGGTGCGTGCGGGCGGGGCCCGGGGCTGGGCGCCGGGGCGGGGCGGTTGGTCCGGCCGGCTCGGCAGCCTGTTACCGAGGCCCGGCGCTGGCTCCCGGCTCCCGGCTCGGTCTGCGCTGATCGGGCTCCCGGCCACCAGGCCGAGCGCGAGGCTCCCTCTCGGGCGGGGCCGGCTGGGCGCCGCGGTCCGCGGGCGTCGCGTGCAGCGGTGCACACAGGAGGCGCTCAATGGGTGCGGGGCGAGGAGCGAGTGAGCGAGCGCGGCCGCGCGGCCCGGTGTGGAAGAGCGCGCAGCCGCCGCCGCACGGGCCGGGCTTCGGGGCACCGGCAGGTGTTGGCGGCGGCAGCGGCGCACCCGGCTGGGGCAGGACAGACGCCCGTGCCCCGCGGAGCTCGCGGCCTCGAGCGCGGCGCTCGGTCGCGCAGGGGCGCCGAGTTCGGGGCTTTCCCGGCGCGCGAGTGACGCCCGAGCCCCGTGCCAGGCCGGGGGCGGGAGGCGCCCGCGCGGGGACCTGAAGACCCCGCCGAGTGGGGCGTGGGGGCGAGAGCGGGGTCTGGGGACGCAGAACAGGGGAGCCGCCCGGGGCCCTCCAGCAGCGGAGCGGTGTCCAGGCTGAACTCCGCCCCGCCGGGGCTCCCTGAGGGGCACATGCTTCAGCGCACCTGTGGGCATGCAGAGTTCCTGGGCCTCTGTTCCGCACAGGCCGCCTGGTGGGTACGAGGCTTATGGTTTAGGACTGAGGTCGGGGAGGCCCTTCAAAGGGTCCTGGAGGCAGTGACCCTAAAAGACAAGACGTCATCGGGAGGTCGGGGGAAAGACGTATTCCAGGCCACGAAAACAACCTGTGCAAAGGCCCTGAGGCAGGAATGGGCTGGGCATACTCCAGGACCGCAGAGGCCGTTGTCGGGGTGGGGCGAAGCAGAGGCTGGCGGTGCAGAGCCTTCTACACAGGCTGGAAGGGCAGTGGGGAACCAGTGGGGCGGCACCGCCCAGTAGAACATTCCGCAACGGTGGAAGGGCTCTCTGTCCGTTCCAGCCGGTGTGGTCCTCCTGCACCTGTGTGGCCACTGAGCACTTGAAGTGTGACCGAGGAGCTGGATTTTGCCTTTAATGTAATTGTAATTGATTTAAGCAGACACGCAGAGCTCGTGACTGCGTACCGGACAGCACAGCCGTGGGGAATGTTCCGCAGGAGGCCACGAGCTGGGCCAGGCTGGACCCAGTGAAGTGTGGGGGACGGGGGCGGTGATGGGCTTGGTCGCTAGAGCTGCTCGGATAATCCAACGGCTGACGTGGTTGCCCTTGGCGTTCACAGTGGCTGGATGGAGGCATGAGCCCGCGGCTACGTGGTGGGGCCCGGTAGCACGCCGTGGGACGGGAGTGCGCACCCACACATGGTGTGGCCCCGCGGTGACCGGAGCAGCCCGGGCCGCCAGCATGATGAAGTTGTTGGTGGCCAAAATCCTCTGCATGGTGGGCGTGTTCTCGTTCATGCTGCTGGGCTCCCTGCTGCCCGTGAAGATCATCCAGACGGATTTTGAGAAGGCCCATCGCTCCAAAAAGATCCTCTCGCTCTGCAACACCTTTGGAGGTGGGGTCTTTCTGGCCACGTGCTTCAATGCTCTCCTGCCGGCCGTGAGGGAGAAGGTAAGGGCTCCCTGGGGCCGCCGCAGCCCATGGCACCTTATGATCCAGGGTCTCTGATGCGTTTTCAATGAGGCCACCGAGCTTGGCGATAGCTGTGACCTTTCAGGAGCGACTGGAAATGGATTTGCTGTGTGACCGTGAGTCAGTTGCTTCCCTTCTCTGGACCTTACGTGGTAGACAGGGGGCCGGACCAAGACCTGGGCTTCCCAGCTGGGCGGCCCCCACCTTGCCCTGTAGCTGCCAGTCCGGGCCTCTCCTCCGGCACCTGCTGCGGCTTAGCCAGCAGTAACAAATGTCGCAGCTTAACGCGGCACATGTTGGTTACGCTGTGGTTTCCCTGGGTCGGGGCTGGACACCGCTTGGCTGGGCCCCTTGCTCCAGGCCCCCACCAGGCGGCATTCCAGGTCTCCAGGGGCAGGGGGCGCATCTCAGGGTTTGACGGGGACGGATCAGTGTCCAACCAAGCTCACGTGGTGGTGGGCAAATTCAGTTCCTTCCCGCTTGTCAGACGAGGGCCTTGTTTCTCCGTGGCTGAGGGCTGCCTTCAGCCCCTTCCAAGTGGGCCCCCAACATAGCCACTTGCTCCATCAGCAGGTGCCTGCACTTCTGACATGTTTCTGTTGTTTCCGCCGCCCACCTTGCGTTCCTCCATGACCCAGCGTGGGAGCTCACGCAGTCAGCATCCCTGGGGGTGAGATCTGAGTCCTCCCTCAGGCCGTCTGCACCCCCAGGGCCACCTCCGGCCCTGCTGCCCCCAACCCCCCTTTGCTGCGTCCTTGCGCCATCACCCGTCATCACACTTCTGCCTCAGGCCAGGGCTGCTGCAATGGCCTTGCTCCTCCCCAGCCCCTCCGTGCTAGTGGCCTCCCATGGTCCTCTCCAAACACCTCCAGGCTGCACCGCTGCCCACATGTGAGCCTGGGCGGGTCCGCTCCCTCCCCCCCAGCCCCCAGCCAGGCTCAGCCTACAGCTGCTGGCTTGGTCACCCCGCAGATGGCAGCATCAAAAGCTGTGGCCTCTGCGTGTCTGCCTTGTCTCTCTCGATGTGGCGATCTGATCTGACTGTCCCTCCAGGGGCGGGGGCCGTTAGTGTTTCTCACGGGCTGGGGTTTCCCGGGCGGAGCACCGGCAGGCCTCCGGAGATGCTTAGCAAATGAAGTGGTCTATCTACAAAACACAGCCTTCTGCAGCCGGGGTTCCTGTGCGGGGGCGACTCTGTGCCCCGAGACCTAGGACCCAAAGCGTGAGCATCAACCAGCTGTGAGTAAGCTGGAGGAGGAGCGGCCCGTTCTGCAGTCCCCTGGAGGTGTGCACGCATCGTTAGGAGTGCAGGCAAATGAGCCCAGCCCAGAGGAGCCCACCTGCGGCCTTGCCAGACGGCGCCCAGCGCTGCGCCGTACCAAGTGGCAGCCCCTCGCCTTGCCTGTCTGGTTGAGGTTCGGTGAAGTAAATGAGACATGAGTCCACATGCTGGTCCTTGGCCACGCAGCGGTGTGTAAGGTCCCCTGGGCCGCATGTGGCCGGGGACTTCGGTATCAGACTGCGCTTCTGGACAGCGCTGGCTGGCAGGGTGTCCCCGGTTGGGGGCACGCGCAGAGTCGTATTCACGCAGGAAGACCTGGGAAGCAGCCTGCCCGCTGTCCTGTGGCAGCAGACCCCACACAGGCCTCAGGGCTGCAGAGGCTGGGCGATGGCACAGTGAGGCAGTCTGTCCCGCGCCATCTCCCTGCTTCTGGAGGGTTCTTGGCAATCCTTGGCATCCCTTGACTTACAGGTACATGACCCCAGTCTCTGCCTCTGGGTCACCTGCCCGTCTCCCGAGTGTCTCTCTGTGTCCCCTCCTTTTTGTCTCATAAGGACACCATTACTGGGGTAAGATCCCATCCTAAGTCAGGATACTCTGTCTCGTCTCCAGACCCTTAGCTTAGGTAGGATTTCCCTGGGGGCCGCCGCAGCAAAACACCTCAGATGTTTGCCCTCTGTCCCTGTGGAGGCCACAGGTCTGGGAGGCAGGTGCTGGCAGGCCTGGGTCCTTCTGAGGCCTGTCTCCTTGCCGCCTCTTCACGTGCTGCTCCCTGCAAGGACTCCGGTCCTAGTGGGCTGCGGCCCACCCTAGCAGCCGCAGTCCACTGACTCGCCTCTTCAAGGACCCTCCCTCTAAGGAGTGTTGGTTCTGAAATTCCAGATGTTCAGATCTTGGAATATAGGAGTGTTTGGTGGGGACACGGTTCAGCCCGTTGCATCTTCATTACTTCTGCAGAGACCTTTCTTCCAAGTCAGGTCACGTTCGGAGCTTCCGAGTAGGCGGGCCTTTAGGGACCGCAGGTCAGCCCGCTGCAGCGTGATTCATCATATTTGGCTGATTGAACCCCCAAGCGCCCTCCGTAATGGAGTTTTTGGTGTTTTTTTCCCCCAACCCAGCAAGGGTGAGCCCACCTTCTCCTATTTTTTTAGCTTCTTGTGTGAAGTGGACATTTCTGTGCTGTGCTAAGTGAACAGTGGTAGCTCCCACACCCTGTTGCATTGGCGGCCGGAGGCCAGGCCGCCCACTCTGAACCCCTCTCTCCCTCCGTCCCCCTCTTGCGCATCTTCCGCTCCAGCTGCAGAAAGTCCTGAGTCTCGGGCACATCAGCACTGACTACCCGCTGGCCGAGACCATCGTGATGCTGGGTTTCTTCATGACCGTCTTCCTGGAGCAGCTCGTCCTGACCTTCCGCAAGGAGAAGCCGTCCTTCATCGACCTGGAGACCTTCAACGCCGGCTCAGACGCTGGCAGTGACTCGGAGTACGAGAGCCCCTTCATGGGGGGCGCGCGGGGCCACGCACTCTATGCGGAGCCCCACCCCCACACGCACGGGCTGAGCGTCCAGGAGCTGTCGCGCTCCAGCCCGCTGCGGCTCCTGAGCCTGGTGTTTGCGCTGTCCGCGCACTCCGTCTTCGAGGGCCTGGCCCTGGGCCTGCAGGAGGACGGAGAGAAGGTGGTGAGCCTGTTCGTGGGGGTGGCTGTCCACGAGACACTGGTGGCCGTGGCCCTGGGCATCAGCATGGCCAGGAGCGCCATGGCCCTGAGGGACGCAGCCAAGCTGGCCGTCACCGTCAGCGCCATGATCCCGCTGGGCATCGGCATCGGCCTGGGCATCGAGAGTGCCCAGGGGGTGCCCAGCCACGTGGCCTCGGTGCTGCTGCAGGGCCTGGCGGGCGGCACCTTCCTCTTTGTCACCTTCTTCGAGATCCTGGCGAAGGAGCTGGAGGAGAAGAGCGACCGTCTGCTCAAAGTCCTCTTCCTGGTGCTGGGCTACGCCGTCCTGGCCGGCATGGTCTTCCTCAAGTGGTGAACGGCCTGTCGCCCGCCCGCCGGACGCAGGCGCCCCCCGCCCCCCTCCCCCCAAGCGGGGGAGCTCAGGCCCCTGGCGGCCACCTGTGCCCAGAGGGGCCGCGCCCTGGATCCGACACCCTCAGCCTGGGGCACAGCGAGTACTTTTAAAAAATACTTCTCTTAAAATTATTTCACAAAGCTGTGTGGCTTTGTGTCATGCCTGTCATGCTCTGGCGTCGAGATCCGACGACTCTCGCAGGAGGCGGGGCCGCGCAGCTGGCTGGGCTTGGGCTGGGACTCCGCCCTCCCCCCCCACTCCTGCCTGTGGACAGGACAGGACCCCGGCTGCTCCGGGCCACCGAGCCCGTCCAGAGGCTGGAGACTCCTGGCCTCCTCTCCCAGCTGACTCTGCCGCAGAGCATCACACAGGGGAGCTCTAACTCCTGCCACTGAGCCAGTGCCTCCAGGGCGACGGGTGGGCTGCCAGCCACCTCAGCACTTCCCTCTTCTGCTGTGCCCCCCACGCACACACTTGGGGGACCCGAGAGATGCGCAGGCGGGGGTCCAGGGGCAGCTGGGCCATTGGTTCTCAGCCCGCCATCCCCAGGGCTGTGGGGCAGGGGCCACACGCTGTGAGTCACCCACCTGTCCTGTCCCCCCCACCGCAGACACACCGACGATGCCAGAAGCTGTCTCAGGGGTGCGGAAGCACAGGGCGCATGTGGCGCTGGCCCCAACCCTGCGCACTGGCTCCCGGGTAACCTTCTGTTCAACTCACCTGTTGTCTCAGCAACCCCCACGCAGGCCTCCAGGGATGGGAGGCTGGGCCGGAAGCCTTTCCCCCGGGATTTTGCCATCAGGAGTGCTCCAGGGGGCGTGTGGGCTGGTGGCCTGGGCTGGGCTGTGGCGGCCGCAGCCTCTCGAGCTCCGTCAGGGACGCTCGGCCATATGGCGGCAGGCACGAGGGCCCGGGTGCGCGCGCCTTCCCAGTGCCCTGAGTCCCTTCCTCTGCCTCGCTCCGGGCCTGCAGGGTCCCACAAGCACAGGCCCCTTCTGATCCGGGCCCTGGGCTTTGTGGGGCTTCTGGTCCCCGGCTCCAGCCCTGTGGGCACCCCTGGGGGCTGCTGCTGGTGCTTAGCCCCTCCCAGCACAAGCAACCAACCTTTGCCAGCTCTCCGGCCTTGTCCAGTTCTGTTACAAGAGGCCCGGGGAGCGGGGATGTGTGTCTGAGGGCCTGTCGCTGTAGAACTCTCAGGCCTGTTGCCGGAAACTTCCGTCTGGCTTGTCCTGGGGACCCGTCTCCAAACCCCACATGGCCTGACCCTGTCCCCGTGCTGGGATAGTGACCTGCATGGGTGTGGGGACATTATCATTTCCATTGTGTCCTAAAGCCAGTGGCGTCAGCCTTGGCCTGCCCCTGCTTCACTCTACCCAGGAGGTGGAAGTTTCTACCAACTCAGCCTCTTCCCTGACTGGGCAGGTCACCGTGGGGCCACCAGGTTGTGAGCCTGCCTTCATCTGGGCCAGGGTCGTTTCTGCTCCCGGGACCCCTGCTCCAAACTCTCTGTCGCTTCCAAAAGCACACGCACCACAGGGTCCCTCCCCTCCTGCCAGCCATCAGCAGCCTGGGGATCTGGCCCTGGGGACACCCCAGCTGGACCACCTCCTGTCGCCCCCACTGATGTCTCCAAGGCCCTGTCCCCCTCACGCTGAGCACACTTCCTGACCAGTGGGCCCGGGAAGGGCAGCACCACACCAGCAAGGAGCCTTGGGTCATAGGAAGACCCGGGGTTCCCTCTGCGGGCCCCTCAGACGTCACCACCTCCGATTCTCTCCGTCTGCTGGGCCGTGGTTGCTCCCGGCTGACTTGCTCTCCCTAGGGTTCCGCCAGCTCCAGCAAGCTGTTTCCAGGCCCCCGGAGGACGCTGGGACCCCGAGAGGTTTGAGGGGGCTGTGTTGGAGAAGAAGATGCAGGCTGCCGCAGCAGCCCCCCAGGCCCCTCCTGGCTACCCCTCCTGTCTTCTGTGGCCAGCGGAGCAAGGGTCAGCCCTGGGACCTGCTTCCAGAAGCTGCCACAGTTGGCCAGCAGTGGGGGTGACAGTGTCTTGGTTCTGGTCAGTTTTCCCACATTGGGTGCAGATCAGACCATCTCTGCTCTGAGCTAAGAAGAGTGGCTGTTTTGCACTCCAACTGAAGCCCCGGGGAGCAGTGCCCACTCCTGAGGTTTCCTGGGCTCTGGTGGCCAAGTCCGGCCTAGACAAGGCTCTTCTGAGGCTTGCGCTGGGCTCCATCCCCGCCCCCTCGGCCACCCCCGCCATCCCGGACGCAGGAGCACTGCCATGCGGCAGGAGCAGCTCTCCCGTGGCTACGACTGCAGGCTGATCATCAGCTGGCCCCAGACCAGCCCCTGCACAAAACTGGAAGTCACCAAAGGCCATCCATGTGCAACCTGGTGACATTGAGGAAATGCCATGTGGCCTGCTGCTGCAGAGGTCCCTGTCTTTTGGGGGTCTTCTCACTTCGCGGTTCCCAGTAGGGGGGAATCCCCCAGGGTGCTCCAGGCAGTGTCTGAGGACGGCCGTGGTGGTCACACTGGGGTTTCACTGCTCTGATTCACGGGAAGTGACAGTGGGTTCCATGCAGAGCCGCTTGGCGCTGAGATCCTGTGCGCGTGTTGGAGAGAGAGGAGGGGAGCGGACGCCTGCTGATGGACAGTCACAGCAAGGGCCGGAGCTGCAGCCAGAAGTGAGGGCGCCCAGTGAGCGTTTAAAGCCAAGCCCTCCACACAGAACACCGAGCAGCAGCTCTGCCAGCATGGACGTGGCGGGGTCAAGCCATCCGCACCCATCCACTGGGCCTAGCTTCTCCCCTCCCCCACCGGGAGGGGTGCTGGGCTGGGGACACCGTTGAGAGCTCTGCCAGGAGAAGAGTTACCCCGGGACTGTCTCCCGTCATCAGCCAAGGCCACCGGAGCGTCTTCCTCCACCAGGAGGTCGCTGGCCCAGACCTCAGCCCTCCCAGGTCTGCTCTGCATGGGGGCTCAGGGCACGGGCAACAGCTGGATGGAGTCAGCCACATTCCCCTCCTTGATCTGGAGACAAAGAGGGGGAAATTACGAGGCGGCACCCAGGCCTCGTGGATTGAATCAACCTTAATAACAGTGTGTCGGGGTTTCTGTTGTCTGCTGTTTGCGTCTCTGGTGCACAAGTTATTAGCGTGGGGCGGGGAGGCGGTGCGCCGGTTCCCCGCCTGTCTGCATCTCCAGCCCCCAGCAGCAGGCAGGGGAGGGGATGGTGTCTCCCAGCCCATGGTGGGATCAGACCTGCTCTGGCCACCAGCTCTGGGCCTGCCAGGAAAAGAGGCAGACATCCCACCTGTTCCAGCCTGTGCCCACCCTTGGGGGAAAAGCCAGTGACCAGCCCATCTGACCTTCCCAGAGCCGGAGCTGCTCTCTGGGTCATCAGGATGCGCTCCGTGCCACCCTGAAGGCCTCTGTGGCTCCCAGGGCATGAGCAGCAGTCCTGGCTGGCTGCCGTGCTCTGATGGAGGGCTGAGGCCATTGGTGTGAGCCCAGCCTGGCTGCCGAGAACCTGCTGGGCAGGTGGGCAGTTCCGAGCCCCTGCTTCCTTCGTATGGGGCAGGCCAACGGACTGCCTTTAGACCGAGGTAAACAGCCACCACAGTTGGCAGGCCCCTCCCTGCAGGGACCAGCTGGGCCTCCATCTGAGCATGGTCAGGCCCGCACCGCGGCTGACAAGCTAGAACAGGGTCTCCATCTCAGCACCATAGACATTTTGGGCTGTCTCTGGGAGCCGCATTCTGGCTGGGGGCGGGGCTGCGGGATCTGCATTGCCACCCAGCCCCCAAGCCGTGCTGATGCTGCTGGTCTGGGGACACGTTTGAGATCCACTGCCCGGCTCCAGGTCTCTCCTCCCAGCACCACCGACACCAGACTGTCCCAGGCACGGTGCCGGTGGGGAGGGGGTTGGGGGAGGTGAGCGGCATCCCTGGACCCCGCCCACAGGATGCCAGGAGCACCCCAGTCGTGGCCACCACAAGTATCCGCTGACAAATGTCCCGGAGTCACCCAAGGGTGAGGCCCACTGCCCTAAGATGCATGGCAGTTCGCCTGGTGACGGGGGAGAGACGACCTGTCAGCGTGAAATGCGGTGTCAGCCGGCAGTAAGTGCCCCAAAGACAGAAGCAGCAGAGCGAAGGGACAGAGCCAAGGAAAATGCAAACGATTCTTCCAACGTGGTCAGGGAGGAAATCCCTGGGGACCACACGAGTCCCACGAAGATGGGGAAAGAGCTTTTCTGGTGGGAGGGGGTGGGGGCAGCCGGTGCAAAGGCCGTGAGTCTTTTTGCAAGTCGTGGGCCTTTTTTCCCTGACTGCTCACCACCATAGGGCTTTCTCCTGCCCGCGGTGAAGACTTCTGTGAGCCCCTGCCCGAGAGGCAGTGCTAACAGCCGCACCTCGTACTTCGGGACGAACCCCAGGCTGCCTCCATTTGGCTCAGCAGGCGGCTTCAGCGAAGGGCCCACGTCTTTCCCCCGGGCTGGGGGCTGGCTCCTGCAGAGGCCGGCAGGCAAAATTCAGGCTTGGGAATACCAGCCTACTCATTTCCTAAGGCAGACTGGGTTTGGACAAATGATTTATTTTCAAATGTTGGAGCCAAACTTAAAAACAAAGTGGACCGCATCTCCTGGAGACCGTGACACTCAGCCTCTGCTTTGCCCGAATGGTTGCATTAATCCTGGGAGCACAGAGAGTGAGCAGAGAATGCAACCCAGCCATCTTCCTACCCCAACAGCACCGCCGGGAGTGTGTCTGGGGGGGGGGGGGGGGGGCGGGTAAGCAAGGCCAGTGTGGCTCCCCCATCCCAGAGCTTTGGGGCAGGGAGAAGTCCATAGGCTGCCAGGCCAGGTGAAGAGTGGGACTTTGCCCACAAGCAGTTGTCACCCTCCCTTGTAGCGGAGGTGACTTCTGCAGGACAGGGAGAGTCAGCCAGGGATAGGCAGAAGGCTGGGTGGTGGCTTCAGAGCCCCATGGC